ATGAAGATGATGATGACAAAAACCTTGTTGAAACGTTGTACATTTGCTGTTTTGTTAAACTTATATTAAAGTTTTTCTTCATTACCCATGCAAGTCGTCTCCAAGCATTATTAGCCCTGATAAAGTTGTAAGGGCAAAACATTGGCTGAAATAAAAGTTTTTATTATAATCTGGAGAGTAAAAGTTGTTTTTTCTTTAACTTTATTACCAAAATGACTAAATGCCACCACAGAGTCACTGTTATGTTTGTTTTTAAAATACATACTAATCCCTCATTGAGCTTCTATAGATGAAATAAACTGATAATAGTGAAAACAAGTTTTACTATCACCAGCAAGAGTAATAAAGTTTTTATGTAAAACCATGATTGCAATTACAAATAATTAAGTAACCAGTCAGCCCATTTATATACATTGTTTAAATAGGATAAACATAAAAATAATATTAAATAAAAATTTGAATCATCAAAATATTTAGCATTCACCTACCATACTTCCTAAACAGTAACTTTAACTCATTTGATTTGACAACAATTTTATTTGGTGAACATACTTAAAAAAAAAACTAAAAGAAGTCATGTTTACAAAGTTTGCAACTCAATAAAACCATAGTATATCTATTAAAAAGTAAAAACAACATAATTTTTGAACTAAGAACCATACCTCAACAAGATACTTTTATTAAGCCTTAAGTATTCTCTGGCCATGTGTATTTGTTTCATACTCCAGGTAAACTTCTTGTATCTGATAATGACAGAACCTTCTCCAAACATTGTATATCTGTTATGATGTTATATAATATAATCTCTGTAGCTACCAAACACACACATTTTCACAATTCACAACAAAAGAAACTATAAAAACTTGTATAGGTAATCTACTATTATGTGATAGTCTAAATCTTGCTTTATCCAGTCATATTTGAACTCTACAGTTGTTTTCAAAGCTGTGTTTCATTATTTTGATATAATAGCTGCTCATATCTAATCAATCAAATCATCCAGTTTTAATCATTATTCTAGATTTATAAAGAAAAAAGGTTTGCCAGAGCATTTCTAAAAACATAGAACACTTTCATATAGGTAAAGATTCTTAGAAAGATGAAAAATGCCTCGGGTGAATAAACCAAGTGTAAATAAAAACAAGGGCTGATTATTGTTAGCATTTGAAAAGATATTCCTCAAAATTTAATAACAACGAGTTAATAGACCACTAAACAATAGGGAAACTTTTGGAATGTTACCTTGATTCACTCAGCATAGAGTTCAAAACTTTCTTTAAATAGAAACAAATGGCATAAAAACAATTTATACTAAAAGTATAAAGAAAGATCAGATTGTCAAGTTTTTAAAGAATTTCTCCTCTCACGGTTTAATCTGTACACTGTACATGTATAGTAAGCAAGGTGTAGCATAGTAACGTGTAGAAGATGTATGTTGGCAATAATTTTGTGTGTAGAACGTGGTTTTTATTTAGTATTTAAAATGCAGATTAAATTATCTAATTAACTTTAGTTCTCTACAACGCAACACAGTGTAAGCAAAATGTTCTTGTTATTTCATATTTTTTCAGCTTCTTGCTACCAAATAGAGTAAATATTGTACAAGTTAAGGCTGTATACACTGAGTAAACCTTGTAATGTGCAACAAATGGGGAAAAAAATGTGCACATGTTTACACAGTATACATATATATATATATATATATATATATAATGACAAAAACCCTAAAACCTTAGTGCTTTTGAAAATGCTTGGGTTATTAGGGTTTTTATCATTTTATATTCAGACTTCTTGAGTCTACGTGTTTGTCTCACATCATGAATATACATATATATTTACAAACATGTAAAGATATAATGTAAAACATTTTTTTCTGAATAAGTATTTCTACTGTTGAAGTAGTTCCATGTTATATAACAAGTAATATTGTTAGTTGGTACCTATAAATTGCTGTATATGTTGTGTTTGTATTTTTATAACTTTCAATTAGTTGCTGTTATTGTATTTTGCAGAACTTTATTTTTGAGATTCTATGTAGTTTGTAAACTATTGGTGGTTCTGATAAAATTAACATGAACATTAAATTTTCTTTTCGTAGTTCTTCGTTTTCCTGCTAGTGATATTTTTAGCAGAGCTGACTGGTGGTATTTGGGGTTGGTTGCACAGGGATAAGGTAAGTTTGTAACAAAGCTGTGAAATTTGTCATACTACTTAATCCTTACTATGCTTGTGTTTCATAATTTTGAATAAACATCTTCAACTACAAACTAAAATCCTGTTGAAAATCATTTAGCTTTACCAACAACTGTTCTTCATTAAGTGGATAAAATCATTTTGCAGTTAGCAGCTAAACATCTCTGTTAGTCCACTCGTTGATGAAAAAATTAATTGTATTTTGTCAACACATTCATTCATTACATTTGATAAGAAGTACAGAAGACTAGTTAAGCAGGAATTATCTGTCCACAATTTGATTTCAGAAAATGAGATTGATTTGAAATTTTTTTTCTTACATCCCGTACATGAAATCAATAATGTAAAGTACAAATAGTACATTTTGGATATCAAAACTTGTGAGGCAGAAACTGCAACACTGAAGGAGCTTAACCTCAGTGCTACGGGTTTTCCTATAGTCATGGGTCAAAGGGAATGTCATCACGTTTGTACTTTCATTCAAAATTTTATTGAACTACTAGTTTATGAATGTATGTCAATAAGTTTGGTATCAAATTGTAGATTATAATTCAGATTTTAGTATTGCAACTTTTATAATGCTAGACAGATACAGCTGAAAGGTCAATAAAATATATGTAATAAATATAAATAGATGTATAACGTTATGAGATTTAAGCTATTTAGAATAAACATTTGTGGTTTCATGTTATAATTTGTAGTCATAATAGAACAAAAAAATGGTGGTTACGAGGTCAGTCAGTTCAATTAAACCTGCACAAAGATAAGATAGATAAAATACCAGATAAAATATAAAGTTTTTCAAAAAAAAAAAATGTTTCATATTTATCCGGATTGTATTAGGAGGTTATAGAGATTTTGCAAGTGAAATTTGACAATTTTCTGATGCATAAAGGTATTTTTAGTCATAAAATCAAAATTACTTTCCATGTGGGATAGTTAACATTTGAAAAGTAAAATTGCAGTGGCAAATCTTTAATTACAAAATTTGATATTTTGTGTATGGAAGCCTTGTTATTTTTAATAATAACCTGTTAAAATATGCATACTGTATTAAAAGTTATAATGTGGAAACTATAACAAGCACAAAATGGTTAGAAGTTCAGTCCCTGGGACTGAGCCTGTTGTGAAAAGGTTAAGGTTGAGTATTTTAGAGATTACAGTTGGCTATAAGCAAAGGGATTTCTCTGTTTATTTTGGAATAGCATGGTAGGGAACGGAAATGAAACTGAATATGCAATAAGTCTGAAACAAACAAATCTTTTTAATGGATACTATATACTTTACCTTTTGAAGAATATTTAAAGATTATTTATGAAATAGTATGAATAAATCATTATTGTTGTTAATTTGTAGCTGACTGAAAAGTAAGGTTAGATGTTTGATTTTTTATCTTGAAAAATAAATCGTGAAATCTAAACAAGAGAAGAAAACCTTGATGTATTACAGTGTTTTACATACTTATGTGGAGATGGAAACAAACTGTTAAGATAGGTACCTCATGATTTTATATATTGTTTTTGTTTCTCGATACCAACGGCATTTTAGTTTTAATTCTCCTTCTTAATAGTCCCCCAGTGAGACAGCAGTAAGTTTATGGACTTACAACACTAAAATCCTGGGTTCATTTCCTGCAGTGGACATGGCAGATAGCCTAATGTGGCTTTGCAACTGACCTTTAGTGTATTGGAATAGAAAAGTTAAATATTTAGAAGTATATGTATAAATTTATACTATATCAAACACCTGATTTTTCAATAAGTGGACAGTAAGCATGGAAATAGTTAGTGGCATATCAACATATATATATATATATATATATATATATACTTCATGCAGTAAGTTTTATGGTTTAGTGTTACTCACTTCAGTTATTTGCAATTATGAATAATGCTAAATTGTTAAATAAATAATGTATAACAACTATACATTAATTATTGTCATAAAAAAAACTTTAAAAAATGCCGTAACATTTCATAATGCTTTTTCTTTAGTTGGAATGCAAAAGACTCCTGAAGGAAATTGTGAAAGTAAATGCATCATATTAATTCTTGTGGTTTTCTGTGTATTACTGCTTTTTTGAGTATTTGTTTTATTTATACCTTTTTAAATGATGTTTTCTCTTTCACGTTAATAAACTCCTTTTACCATCACACACATGCATGGTAATTCTGATGTTACCTTTGATTATTTTTGGTAATGAATTTATTTAAGAGTTATGTAGTTTTAAATGTCAACCATATAAATGGAAAGCTTATTTTTAGGTCTTTAACTATTTGATGTTTTTCTTTTGTGAACATTATATAAGAAATGTGTGCATTTCTGTTTTTAGATAAATAAGATGATTGATACGTCCATTACGAGGATGATCAAGGAGGAGTATCCAGATGTTAACCTATCACTCAAATCTGTTGATGCACTTCAGCATGATGTAAGTGATGACTTCAGTAGAGCCCTCATGTTTTCTAGTTGTGAATTTATACCATAGATATATTGAAAGATTAAAAAAAAACTAGTTCTATTAATTCATTGTAAGGTACTGATTGTTCTTTATCATAAAAAAATGCAATGCAGAGGTAATTTGTTTAGATATAATATTCATTAGACATTTGTGTTCTAACTGGATTCATATAAAATCTGGAAATTCATATAAAATCTGTTACTCAAACTGGATGTAATATGTTGGCTTTGTTACCCATATCATCCTATTTTTTCTAGTATTTCAGAACATTATTATTTTGAGTGTATTTTTAATGTTGATTTATTTAAACTTTGGGAAATGTGTGTAAGTTTTGAAGGTGTTTTGTTTGAACAATGATGCTACTAAATTAAGTGAATTTAAAAATGATCTTAGCAGATGGTTTTATTTTTCATAAAATTCCATTCAAAAAGTTTAAAATTAGCTTGATGTTTTTTTAGCTTCATTGTTGTGGAGCCAAAGGACCAGATGACTGGGCTGAATCTGGATACAATAAAAAAAAAAGTGAAAAATCAAGCATATTATCTTTTATTTCACCTGATTCTCCAATGTACAAAGTTCCAAGTAGTTGCTGTTCAAATATTGAATCTGAAAATTGTGGAGAATTACAAGCAGTAATTGGGCTAAGCTCAGCTAACCCAAAAATCCATCAAAAGGTAAGAGCATATGTCTGATGCCTTTTTTTTTTTAAAGGCATTTTTCCAGGTATTTTTTTGTTTTTGAAGTAGGCATTACTACTGTTAATGAATTAGAGGTTTCAAAAAGCAAACTAATTAGTATTGTGTAATTAGCGATTCTTTGCAGTTACCACTCAAAATGCAAGTTCACAATTTCAATTAAGCATTTCAGTGATGATGTAGAATATGGTTACAAATTGTTTATGATTTTATTATCTTCATCCAATCTTCATTTTAGATAATCACAAAAAATAATAGAAAAGAAATGTTAAAAAATATTAAAGTTAAAATTATAACAAGCTCTGTAATTTTTTTCTATGTTAACATGTTAGCAGTTTTGAGTATTTTAATAGAATTCGTAATTTTGTTATCATTTAAGTAGAAAATTGTGTCCACTTAAATCACATCCATGCTTTACTTTAAAACAGGTGTGTTGACATAAGTCGGTTACATCTGAAACTGTAAGTTAATTAACATACAGTGAAAAATTATGTCATAAAAGTAATAAAAGAATTTTATTATTATTATATATCTCTTGCTGTTGAATTTTTCTCTTTATATCATCAATCAAACTGTTTACAATACATACACTGGAATCAAAAACAGAAAAAAAAAAGTTTGAACTAATGACGGATCAAATATTGTAAATTTTGTTTCATATCTGTGGTAATTTTTGTTTTTTGCATTAAAGTCATATTTTATTGTTTGCAATTAAACTGTTGAAATTAGATGTATAATAACCTCGTACATTTTACAATGGCTTAAACATTTTATGTGACACACATCAGTAGCAGAAGTATATCAAGAACAAGAGTAGGATACTCACAGTCATTAATGAACCTCATTGTTAGTGGGAGTATATTACATAGGTTTTTTTTTCAATGTAGAGATAAAGTTATTAAAATAAAAAAATATCTTTAAAGTATAATCTTAAAATATATTTTGCTGGAAAGCAGGACATTCTTTTTTCTTTTTTTTTTGGAGAAAGGGAGTTACTTTATATTTGAAAAAGGCAAGTAGGCAAAATTTCCCACTCCTCAGATTTCTTCCAGAACTATAACTGTACCTCTTAAAAAATGACCCTTTCATACATGGTACATTGAAGATGGTTTTAAAATATGCTTCTTGAGGTCAAAATTAGGTATGTGACAGTGAGTGGGCATGATCACGCATCTCAAAAATGAAGCCCCTGAGAAAGTTACTTTAAGTTACAGCTGTTTTAGATTGGAGAATGCCCCATTAGTGCAAAAACAAATGTATAAATTACAATTGAAAGCTTAATCTTATGCATTAAAGCAGGATTTTTACAGTAATTTATACAAACCGGTTTACAATTTACTGTGAAAAATAAACACCAGGTAATGTTATCCAAGTTTATTTGAGGTTTTCATGAATGTTGAAGAAAATTATCAAAATATTGGTTCTGGTTTATTGTGGAAAATAGACATCAGGTAATGTTGTACAATTTTATTTTAAGTTTTCATGAATGTTGAAGCAAATCATCAAAATGTTGATTATGGCAACATGTACTTTACATATGTTTCTAAGTAGCTGAAGGTTTTAATTTTGAAACTTTTTTTGTTGTCATAAGCTGATCAGTAAAATTTGTAATGTTATGTATTAAGCCTTTAATAAATCATATTTGGCATATTGCATACTGAACTGACTAGCTAACAGTTATTGTAAGTTTTGTTTGTTTTGTCCAGATAATAACACGGTTATACCTGATCACCCAAACACTAATTTGACATTCATGTTTTGCTCAATTAGTGCCAGATTATGTGATTGAACTTGTAAAAGTTAGTCAAAATGCAATCGTAAGTTAGATGTTATTCCCTCTTCATACAGAAAAATTGCTTTGGTGTTTCAATGAAATTTGATACTTCTTTTTAAATATTAAAGTATTATTATAGGGTTTTAAAACCACATATAGATAACATGGTTAATACAAGTACAGTAATTTTGTTTTTCCATACTGTAACAGTTAAATATGAATTGTATTATTTGACAGGTATACAATAGAAGTAAACACATGTACATCAGATACAGTATATCATCAACATATGTTTTTTGGCAATTATTTGTTGTCTCATTGATTACTTTTGTTACAAAATTAAGATTTGAAGTATCTTCAACTCAGTGCAACTAAATGGTTTTTGTTTCTTGAAGTAAGAACTCGTTTCATTATATGTACTTACTCGTATATTTAGGGCTGTGTTCAGGCACTACAGAAACAGCTGGAAGAACACCTGACCATAATCATTGGAGTTGGTATTGGTCTTGGAATCATTCAGGTTTGTATTGTTTTCTTGTTTATTCAAAATAGTTTAATTTTTCTTTTTTCTATTATTTTACAGTGCATAAAATATTGGCCTTCATTCTAGCTATATTAGTTTGTTTGAAAATGTAAAAAAACTCAATTACCCCAAGAATAATTTCATAACTTAAAGACTAATTACTTCAGAAGGATAAGGCCATAAACAAAATGAAAAGCTCTCTTTTTCATGTTGATTTTTAATCATAAAAAGTTGTCATTTTTTGCTTTTGTTTTTACAAAATAAATACAAAATGTCTATGACAGTGTTTACCTGTTTTGTGTTTTTTATACAAGTTTTCAACTTACTTTAATGATAAAACCTATTTTAATTTAGATTCACAGTTATATCCATGTATAATTAAGCTGTATACAAAAAATTGTAATACAGATCATATTATTAACAAGGACATGCAATAGTACTGATACAGAGCTTTTACTAAGGACTTTTTTCAACTGTAGAACATGAATGTGTATGAAATGAAAATAATGGAAATTAGGCCATAGTAGAACATGCACAAAAAAACAACATAAGATATTATTGGGAAAAGCAGGAATGTTGGATCAACCAAAAGGTATTAGAGCTAATATTATCTGTGAATCTTTGGAAATAATAAAGTTTAAAAAAGATCATGAATTGTCAAGTAGAGAAAAGATCCAGCAAATATCTGTGTAAGAGTGTGCTGGGACCTCCTCTGAGAATTATGCTGAAAGAGTAAACCTACATTCAGGTCACATGACCTAGCTAAGAAGGAATATATATATATGACATTTATGTCTTACAAGTTCACTCCCGATGATGATGTTGAAATGTCTAGAGTCAACATTTTGGAGGCCATAGATTGGACTAAATTAAAAATGTTTTAATTGTGTATCTGTTTTAATGTTGTTTATATTTATTATTTTAATTAGTCAATACATACTAATTTGCCCATCAAGACCTTGGAAAGGCCACTCAAGAAAAAAAGTGTTATGACAATATTGTAAAAGAACAGATGTACCAGTATGGGGATTGGGTTTGGCTGTGGTAAGTGCAAGCAGTATGGAATCAGCATGGATACACATGGACCAGTTTGTACCTCATATTCTAACATATTGATCCACTAATGTGAGTTACAGCAATGCAAGGTGCACAGAAGCGGGTGTATCACATCAATAAACTGCATTTGTACATCACAGACAAATGTCTCTTGCACTGTCTTGATCAGTTGAGGACAATTAGTCAGAGAAGGATGAGGGTGCTGGTTTAATTCAGCTCTTTCTCACTCACCCAACGAGTAAGAAAGAGCTGAAATTACCTTTCTGTACATGATAAGCCAGTTGAAAAAACATTGGAGTTAGAGGCAAAAGATAACTGTCAGTCACCAGTGTTGACCTCCCAACTAATATTAGTGGGACTATATGTTGATTTATATCAAAACCTAAGACAATTGGAGCTGTTTTATGTAATGCCTAGTACATAATCAGTTTGCACCAATGGAGATGATATCTAGGAATTCAAAGGCTGTTGAAAGAGCATTGCAACCCTTGCATTCTGAGCTATTGGATGATCATGTGGCTGAAAAATCAGTGATTGAAAAGACGTTGGGACCCTTGCTTTGCGAGCTACCAAGTGAATGTTCTGATGTAAAATGTCATCTGCATCTGACATTTTGAAAGAATTGCTCGCCTGATTTAGCTGAATGACAAGAACTATATGGAGTATGCTTTCTGTATTTTGTATTATTGGTTAAATGGGTTTCATCTTTATGTTAATGTGTTAACAGAGGTTTATTTATTTTTTTACTATTTTTTCTTTCTGTCTTTTTCATCACGTAATGTATTTTTCTACATTAAAGCGAAAGTTAAATTCTCAGCTTGAGGACAAGTCTGACAAAAAGGAATGGGAAAGTTTGATTTGTGGGCGTATTATGTTTTTTCTCCTATCTTGTTTTAATGTAGAATTTTTCAGTTTTTTTGTATATTTTGAATCAATACAGTTTTTGAATAAGTGATCCAGCAAACCACTGATTTTGTTCTAGTTGCCTTTGTTGCTTTGTTTTATATAGATAATACCTATTCTGCCTGTGGGTTATATTGCTGTAACACTGCGCATTGTGTATGAGCATACATGACAGCAAGGTCCTTCACTGGTAGAACAGATGATATCTAAAGGCTACAGATCCCCTGTGTTGATTGAGAATGACCGGTCATGTGGTTAGCACTAATTGCTGTGGCTAAAGCTGACATTAACTCTCTCACTACAGGCTCAGTCAGTTCATTTGAGTTTGTGACCCCAGATTGACCTATAAATTTTCCATACTATAACTTCTAATATTTTTGTTTATCTACAAGAAATTTTACAAGCTTTCAGTAAACATTACAAGTCTTTTATAGACAAAAAATCAGAATTTTTAATAAAATGTTTTTACTAAAACTTTCTCCATGAATATATGGAGTCAGAGTTTTGACTGCTCCAAGTGCAAAGTTATCTTCAGCATTATCTTCAGATTAAAATTACCTTTCATTATCTCAAAATCGTGAAATTTTATTTGTGTTTATATTCTATCTCTTATTTTCCTACCCTAACTCTCTACAAAGTCAATAAATTTCACAGACCTCGTTAAAATGGCACTTGTTCAATATATATATTTATTTATTTATAGAGATACACACACAGCTAAAAATGAGTATTAGAAGGAGTACAACTCTAAAATAATTTATTAAAAATGGGAACCAGCCCTAAAAAGACGACTCATTTCTGTGTTCTTATACCACTGTCTCCTGAAGATGGTGGCGTAAGAACACTGAAACATGTAGAGACTTTTTAGGGTTTGTCCTTGTTTTTAATTAATTATTTTGGTATTGTACCCCTTTTAATTGTATATATTAATTGCAGAAATCATATAACTTTGGAACCAAAAGTAACAATATTTCTCACCTAATTCATTTCCTAAAGATTAGAAAATTAAAAACAATGTAATTGTTAATAAGTAAAATAAACATACTTTAAGTTAATATTTATGGAGAACTAAAAAATGTTTCAACAAACAAAATTACTAATTTTATGAAGTTTGAGACATAACAAACAAAGGATTAGCAAACTATATAAAACAGCTGAAATTGCAGGAACATCAGTATTAAAAAAAAAGGGGGGACTGCATGCCTAATATTACTTGACATTGTTATAATTAAAGTTGTATAAGTAGGTACAATACTACATGAATCACACCAGTAACTAAGAGGAATAACACCATTTTAACTGTATTAAATGTAATATTAAATGTTTTGTGGAAGACTTACAAGAATATAGAATAAAACGGTAGTTAGTACACGAGTGGTTTGACAGGTTTTTTCTTTACAAGTATTTTTAACATTAATTAGTATGATAAGTCATCCATCCTATGTGTGGTAGATATAAATAAAATAAACGGTTTAAAATACTTCACAGAGGGACAGTCTGTGATAAGACTGACAGTTTTTAGTTCGTGTCCTCTTGCTGCCGTACCTTGGAATCATGGTGTGCTGTAAGAGTGACTGTCAGATCCCACTGCTTGATAAGATAACAGTTGTCCAAGAGTTGGTAGTGAGTGCTGTTGACTGTTCAAAATTAGTGATAACTAAGCACATGTGAAAATTTTAAAATGAACAGAAACTTGTGTATTGGCTCCCACATGCTTAATATCAAATATTCACCAGGCTACAAAACTATAGAAGAAAAAAAGGTATTTAAAGTACCAAATGATGTACAAAGTTGAAAACCTAGAGAGACTTTATGAGTCAAATGAAATGATCGTAAAACTGATATAAACTGGAAAAGAATGAGCTAGCCTGCACTGATAACAATATAAATTAAAACTATGTTGATGTTAATGTCAGATACATATGTGAATAAGGTAGGGCTTTTAATTTATATGTATCTACAACTATTTATAAGATAAATCGTGTACCTTAATATCCCTTTCGAGTTATATTAGTTTAAACAGACTACGTGGTGTGGCTCTAAATAAAGTTTTCTTTTCTTTCAGTTGCTTGGTCTAGTTTTCTCGATGGCCCTATGCTGTGCAATCCGGAATTAAGTTTGTGCACACCATATTACTCTGCTTTGTTGACGTTACGATTACGCCGGCCTACGTATTGTTTATGGACTAGTTGAACTAATAATTTTATATACTCACTTATTAACTGATCTTTTAAACTTGAAGAAATGCTCAAATTTGTATATATGTGTACTTAATACAAATATTTCTTTAATTACAAATTTTATGATAAGCATTACACACACACACCCCCGATGTAAAAGTCAATTTCCTATTGGATTGGACAAAATGTCCACACCAAGTGAGGTTTTTCCATTAACTTTTGTGCTTGAATGTTTCAAACAACCAACAAGCTTGATTATAAAGACAAAATATACCAACTCTGGCTAGTTGTACTCCCATTTGTTTTGTTATAAACTCTCTGGTTTCTGTTAATAGTGTTATTACCCATTTTGCTTAACACTGAATTTCAGCATTAAAATTTAGGGTTATTATAATATATCTTACCTCGTATAATGTTCTAATATTAAATTTTATAATGCAAGTAAAAGTTACACTACAATTTGATGTAATTTTAATAAAATGTTTTATATTGAAAGAAGAAGAACAGATCTTCAAAGTTGTTCTTTAATTTTATAGGTTTTTTTTTTTATCTTTAAGTTTGTATTTTGTATATCACTTCAAATTTTCAGGCAACATATATGATGTGCCATTTACATAGTTTTTAGTTCTGTATTATTGTTTCATGTAGGATTATTAGACTTAATTCAGGTAAGGAAATAATAATTTGCTCATTATGACTGACTGAAAAGGTTTTATTTTGTTTTTATAATTGTAATTTTTCAAATTCAAAAGGATTAAAAACAAAAGGGATTCTAAACCTTCCAGTATAGTAATAGCATTATTATAACCTCAGTTTCTGAAGCTGAAACAAATCATGTTATGTAGAACTGATAATGGGAAAAACTCCCACCTATGTGTTCAGCTTCCAATGTAAGGAAACAAACCCCATCATTGACATTGGGGCTCCTACTTAAAGGTCTAGTTGCCAGTTGTCTGTGTTAATACTAATGTCTTAAACACAGAAACATTACTTATAAATCCAATTTATAAGAAAAGTGACAAAAAAAAGAACAATTATGAGTTGTTTTTTATATACAAGTTTTGTGATATAAAACTATTGGTGCAACACTGTTGATACTAGAATATGTAAAATGCTTTATACATTTAAAACTATATATGTTTGTATTTCTTAGATTTTTGCCTTTAACTGATAAAGGTTATATTAGGGTTTTACTTAGTCAAACAGTCTTAGTCTCTTAAGGCATCACATTTTCAAACTTGGTTTTAAGTATTGTTCGTGCTTCTATCTGTGTACCAGTAGAATAAAAATTATACCCTGGTTCCTGTCATCCTAGTAAAATCAATCTGAAGTTGTTCTGTGAAATTATCTATCTAAACATCTTGATAAAAGTGCATTGTATGTTCACGTGAATATTCTGTTAATCTTAAATTTGTTGAGGAACATATAAATTTCTAATTTTTCAAAATGCAGCCTGGAGTATTTTGGATATATATATATGATTTGAGTAAATTACAGTTAACCCTAGAAGGAATTTTTTCCTTAACTTAGTGTTTTGATTTTATAATTTGTTAGGAGCAACCTTATACTTTTAAAGCTAATGAGTTTACCAACCAAAATAGAAGTTTGCTTCAGAAAAAGTTACTGTATAATTACTGTTCTAATTAATTACTCCTTCCTGGGTTAGATAATTTGATCGTGTTTTTTCCAGCACCACTTCACTACTGCTTGGAACATCTTTTGATAGGAATGTTGCATAATGATCCATATTTCTTTTATTTTTCATCTCGAGTCTAATGTTTTTGGTCAAAATATATTTTAACAACTTTGCATCTTATCAAGTCATGCACAAATAATATGTATGATAGAGGAAAATGTTAGTTTCTTGCCAACTTGTATTACTATATGATTTGCTTCCCTGATTTTTGTTGTAATTAATAGCTTTTGAGTTGTATAAATATGTATAATTTTAGTGTTTATATATAACATTGTGTGAATAAGGAAATATTTTTTTTTCTTTAAGAAAAGAACTCGTGTTACTGATATCTATATTACAAATGGTGCTTTTTTTATTATATCGAGCTTTCCGGGTGTGAGAGGGGATGTTAGTCAAAGATAGAATATCAATGAAATAGTAAAATAACCTATGCTATTTTGTTTTGGATTTTCAATTAACATTACTGAATTTCTTTGATGTGAGAAAATTTATCATTTTTTATTGTATGTTGATTTAGCTATGAAACAATTTTGAGCCAAAAGTTTTATCTTATAGAAATATAAAAAATATTCAGTATTTCTAAATATAAATTCCCAGAAGTACTTTGTTTTCACTAAAAGGTGAGAAGCATGATTCACAAACTGTTTGTATTTCTGTTACATACACATCTTAACTTTTGGTACAAAAATAGTATTACTTCCCATAACCCCCGTGAATGTACATTGAGATCATGTATGGTATGAATAAAAAATGGTTGTTAATTTTTTTATAACGTTTAACTGTAGGTGAGAAAGAAGAAATATAACTAGAGAGATGTAAAATGTTAAAACAGTAATTTTTTTTATTTAGAACTATTCTTATTTTTTTTAAATCATATATCTAGCCTAAAACACATTGTTCAAAAATGTATTAGGACTAGAAGGATGTTGATAGCAAATCAAGGAATGTTTTTGTTGTTGTTGTTGTTTATAATGGATACCCTTTTTTATGTTTTAGACTATGTAGGATTAGCATACTTATTTGTTTTGTAAACAATTTAATACATTTTTAGATGTAATAAATTTAGTTTAACAAACCTTATTGGCATATATTATACATGTAATAATCCATGTGTTTTTGTGCAGAATTTGAAATGTGTTTTTAGTTTGTCAAAATAAAGTTTTATGAATCATGTTGTAGTCTCAGAGGCTTAACTTTCTGAAACGTATTCTCTAGTTAGTGGGGTATAACATTTATGAAGTTTGTGTTACTTTCTGTGTTGTTGTTTTTTGTTGCTAATAATGAATGAAGTATTCAAACAAACAATACAATTCTGTTTATTTTATCATTTATATCCAACATTAAACTGATAAACATAAGAAACAACTGTTAGTCCCATATATAGGTTTAGAAGCTGAATAAGACAAGAACCATGCCTTTTCTTCTTTACTTATATCATGTACTATATATTTGAAAAAAAGTGAATAATGTATGAGACTTGTTATATTTTTAAAAAAGTTCTGTATTTTGATGTATTATTTTTGAAAAGTTAAGATGAAGTTTACATAATTATTTAGAATGAAATATTTACTTTGTAAAACCTATCTTCCCTATCAAAATAAATGTGTGTGCATAATTTTTCTTTGTGTTTTCTGTGATTTTCTACCAAGACAACATTTCTATTGAACTATACCATTCCTAGAAAACAATTTAAATATATTAACAGATACTTTTCATACATTTATTCTTTATATCACTCCATTCAACCTGTACATTAGTGTAAAGTTTGTTTAATTTATTCAATCTATATATTTTACTTATCTTAACAGTGGTGAACATTATAGTGTGTTTATATTTTTGTAATACATAATGAAATTAGCTTGGGAAGAAAATATTTTTTATCAAATTTGTTAGCTTATAGCTTTAAAAATTGTTAATAACTTGAAGTATTTTTATTTTATACTAAAAAAAATGGTATGTATGTTTCATTCCAACTCAGAGTTATTGTGGGTTTTTTTTTATCTTTCTAACAGGCTATACTACTATAATGTGTTACAAAAAATGATAAAAAACATGAATTTTTGCCAAGCTGGGATGCTAAACAAAGTGGAGAAACTAACTTTTTGTGATGTGTAGGGTCCAGACTAGTAAGTGGTATGGTAGGGACTCAGCTGGAGGTAGATTGTGTGCACTTACCCTTGTCGACACTACTGAATTTACATGAATAGGTGCGATAAGAATTATTCATGCACACAGCAAAATAATGTTTTAAATCACCTGTTCAGATTGTAAACAGAAGAAAGTAGCTTCAAGCTAATAGGGAAGAAAAGAGTTGCTGAATATTTAATTCTTTACATTTGCCCTGAGTATTACGATGTAAAAATATAAAGATTAAAAACAGTTTGTGATAGTTTGATCACTTAAATCTCAGGATTTGTGTATTTTTGTTATTCTAAGTGAAAACAAGATTTTGTAACGCATGTTATTATAAATATATAGCCAAACTTATATTGGTTTTCTTCCATATCAGGATCTTTTGTCTAATTAAAAATTATTCATTCTGTTTACTTAAATTAAAGTTTGTTATATTATGTGTCAGTATTTTACTCGAAACTACTACATGTTAATTTTAATGTTTTGGGGACTTACTTATTCTTGTGTTAGAGAAATTAATTTAAACTTGATTTACTATAGTGAGAATCTTTACACAACATATTATTTTTATTTCTAATTCAATACCAGAAGTTTACTGAATAGAATAACAAGTGTGTTACTATTTTGGCTTTTACCAGCATTGAATCCAATGTTGTTGGATCCTACAGAGGTTAACAACAGTCAGTTTTATCACATTGTGTGGTATTCAGGTACAATTATGTTCAACAGAAAAGCCAAATGTTTCTGTAGAAATGCAGGATTAAAATTATTAAGTAAAGAGTAAATTGAACATGGACAGGAAAAAAAAAAGCACAAGTGAACAAATAAAACCAAACCTTTATTCACAACAGTTGTATTCATGTAAATTTTTTAATTTACCAGACTGGCTGGTATTCTTAGTCATTAGTACAAACTGGCTGCTGTGGCTAGATAGGATTCCTACTCATGCTTGTAAGGACAAAGAAAATATATTATCACTTTCCAATGAAAATAAGGGTTCAAGTGGGTGTATCATAATACCAACCTACATACATCACAGACTATTCCAAATAATATACAGAGGAGAAAGCCTCTAACTCATACCACTTTATACAGGTAGCTGTATCACCTTAAGAAGTGCATTTACAAAAATAATAGGTTTCTCAACCACTATAACGTAGTTTTGTAGCTTATTATTATTTATATTTACAATTTTCATGCCTTCTTAAATATAGTAAAATAATTATTTCTGTAATTAACAAATTAGGCTAATTATTTGGCATATTGACAATATATGACAGAAGTTTCATCAAAATGTAGAAAACTGTTTATATCTGTTTATTTAAGCTCAAACTTTTCTATGAACTAACTGTGCTGTTCCCATTGTATTGATTGAACCCCACATTTTAACTGAACCACTGGAGGGTGACCATATCTGAATTAGTTTCAGTTATTCCATGAACTTGTTGAACACATCTGTTCTTTCAGCTGTGGGGATGTGTTGCTGTGACAGTCAATCTTGCTATTCAGTTAGGAGATGCTGTATAGGTGATGATTGTCAACCTTCTGGGAAGGATGGCTATGTCTGAGCCTCGGGGTCCCTGACTTAGCCATTTAGCATATATGACGTACAAAGTACCATTCACATTCCTTATACCAAAAGGTTTTTGTTTTCTGCTTTACATTCTCTTTAAATTTGAAATGAAATTTACTTTTCAGAGCCCTGGGGATTTGGTAAATAAAGAATCATTGGCCAGATCAATTATCAAAGTCAGTATCAGACTTAGTATTCAAGTAGTATCATAAAATACATACAAAAATGGAATTTGGGACACCCATTTGAGGTCACAAGGGTCAACAAAGTACACTGTTATCTGGCAGAAAATTGTCCATAACATACAGGCTCTGGAAATGCTATGCATAGAATAGTAGTGAACAGACCAGCAAAAGAAAATGACCAAGTACAAATGTAAAAATAAAACAGATCAAAAATCATACAATAATATGAGTATGTTTTAGTTGACTGCAACAGTGCTCGATTTGAGGGGAATTTTAGTTCTCATTGGAGGCACATATGTACAGCTATATATGTATTGATTCTCTTCATATCCATCAATCATTGCTAAAGTTGGTTTTTAGTTTACTCTTAATGTTTGTTTTATGCAGGGTTATTGTTAAATCTTAATTTTGATCTAATCAATAATGTAATACAATTCATGATATACTTTTTATAAATATGAGTACCGATAGTCTTCACTTTTTTTCAGTACATTTGTTACTTAGTTATAACTGGAGCACTGGACAGCTAATCTCCAATATACCTATGACAAGAATGTCAGTAGTTACATGCTGAATACCTACACAAAAACTTAGAAGAATTACTTCTATATACCTGACTAAAGATGTATTCTATACTACTTATAAAAGGGTAAAATGAACTAATATCACAAATAGGCTGTTGAGTGTCCCAGTGGAAATAATTTCACCCTTCTATAACTTGTATAGAATATACTTGTAGTAGGATATATTCAGGTTCCTTTTGCTAAATTATTGTCTAGATATTCTACATATAGTTAATGACAGCTGTGCTAACATGGTGTAAAAAAAAAGTAAACATGTACTAATCCTTTTGTGCAGATAAGATTATATATATATATACGGCAATGGCTATCTAATGGAAACTTACACCAGTTTATTTTACCCTGGGGGTTCTATAACCCCATCTCAAAGGAGTGACCTACTCGGTTACTTGTATGAGTTGGGGTTTTCATCTGTGATTATATTATTTGGAATTATCATTGAAACAGGTATTCTAAGGACTGAAATACAAACTAGGACCCTTGTCTGGATTGGGTCTATGGTTATTACATTATCATTTCTTTGTCCTATGTGAACATTTTTGGAAAGCCTCCTCTTTACTCCAGCAGCCAATTGAAATCATTCAGCTAATTAAAATTGCCCCAGTTTTGTTCCAACAGAAACACTAAATATATTGTTTGTTGTGTTTGAAATATTACTCTGCAGAACATTTCTACTGTATTGCAGATACTTATAACTACCTGTTGTACATCATTGTAGCTGAATTAACACAGACCAGTTATCAAGTAAAATTTTGATGCTATAAACATAGGATTTCTTTGATGTGGAGCTCATTTTAATCATACATATTTTCACTAAGCATGGTAATGCTTAGTATGTAGGGATGAGCCATGACAAAAAACGGCTGCAGCATTCAACCTATTACTATATGATGCTTACAAATAAAGTTTGAGCACCTATTACCCATTATCGAGTGTTTCACAGCTTGTGAGACTCCCAATATTGTTGAAAAGTGTTGATAAAGCAAGAACTGGGAACTAACTAAATAGCCATAGTGTTCATCCTTTTTTTTTCTTTTTCTAAGCTAGCCACAAAATGTGTAAAGTTTTCTTAATGGCTTTAGTACAACAGAAAAGCATTTTAAGAGCACTTTGGAACAGGCTATCACTAAGCACAATATTGCTAGGTATAAGCTAAAAAAAAGAAGAAATTCCAGTGTAAATGATGTTATCATTATTCCTGGAAGTTAGCTTTCTTACAGTAATTTGGTGTTTCTTTAAAAAAGGTAAAATAGCAATTACCAGCCAATAATAGGTGAACATTAGATCACTGTAACATGTAGAATACTCAATGCTTTGTACACTATACAGTCTGTGTCTTTAGGGAGCCAACTCCTATATTATGTATGAAGTGAAGGAGTAAAAAAATCAATACACATAATATTAAATTTTATTACACACATTACACAAACTTTCACTCAGTGGAAAAAATATCACAAAACAAGTCATAAAAAACATTTTATAAATGTAAAATGATGTTGGGATCACAGTTCCAAAAATAATGTAAACATGAATATAGGGATGATACAGCTATACATATGTTCTTTCCTTATTGTAGGCTCCCCAACATTAAGTCCCAAGAAGTCAAGATTATGACCAGTGATGATTAATAATCTATTGTAGCCAAATGCATGGTATAATATCAATATCTGAGGTCATTGTACAAGTACAATAAAGAAAC